TGACAGTATCAATGTGTATGTGCGTGACTCATTATTTTGGTTAGTCAACAAACTTTTTTTTAGCTTTTTATAAGTTTAGTTGTACATTAAGAAATGATTAATTGGTATTTAAAGTGACAGCCAATCTGAAAATGTCAACACAATCAAATTTCGAGCTAATATTATGTTTTGATTCGCTTGATAGTAGCGGTCATTGTCGAAGATAGCACCTTCCGTGGCGGCCGAGCGGCAGCAGAGACGCTGGCTGTCCATTGCGCTTGCTTGTCTTTTGGGTGAGGATTCGAGTCCCTCGTGAGCGCCAAACCGCGGGCGCCTCCGTTCGAACGTTTTTAAAGTACGGCCCATAGTGTTCGTACTGTTGTTTTCCTTTGTCTTGATCGGCATTCTCCTGGTTACACTTCCTCTTCATTGCCCTCGTCATCGTTATCATGATTATTATGTCATCATTATTACCATTACCCCTATGGCCATTATCCTCCTCCTCCCCAGTTATTGTCGTTATTATTACCATTATCATTAAAATTGCCGTCATCATCATTATTACCACTACTAGTACCATCATCAGCACCATCATCATCAGCAGCAGGAACACCATCGCCATCACCACTCTGTCCTCCCCTCTTCTCTCTCACACTCTCCTTCCCTCCCCCTCCCTCCTTTAGATATATTTACATTTCCTCACATATTCCGTTTCCATCTCCTATGTCATGGTTTGCCGAGGAAGTGTTAACATTAAATACCCAAAATGTCGATTATTGCTAATTCATCATGATCACCAGCACAGGAATGACGGCGCTTTCTCGATCTATATTTGCTGTGATGTGTTTTTAGCGCCGAGGGATTCCTCGAATGCTGTGGTTACTCCCCTCCTGCATTGCTGCGTTCGGAATCCCTTATCTTGCTCGTCCGGGTAAGCTGTCAGGACGAGCAAGACAACGAGGTCGCGGTCGGAAGCCTCTGAGGCCTTCATTACCACAATGCATCCAGCTGTGAAGTTAACATTCGCTGTTTTTTATGCGTGTTTATTTTAGAGTATATAGGCTTATAATTACTCTGATGCACAGGCAACTAATTTTCGGAAGACAAGAACTGAAATAACCCTTGATAACTTCAATTACCATAATCTTCTGATTGCCCACAACTGTCAGTGTTTATATGCACAAATGCGAGTGACGTCATCTCGTCTTGTTCGCCCTGGCCGCAAAGAGGGCGAGGAGGACATGAGGAACAACTTGTACCGGACGCCAAAGCAGGGGTTCCCGAGCCGTCGAAACATCTTGTCAAACGTGTTGGAGAAAAGGATTCGAAGGCAAATTAGACATCGTACAGGGACTCCCTCTCTCCTTTTCTCTTTCTCTCTGTATATCATTATCTACCTTTCCTCTCTTCCTCCTTGTCTCTAATTTTGCCTTGCTTCTTTCGCTCTACATTGTCGACATCGAAAAAAAGAAGAGGTAAAAAAGGCATAATACGTCATATATATTTATTTACATTCATTATTTACCTTATTATTTTTATTATAGATGTCAGTGGCCTTACAAATCACTGAAGTTGTCTTGACTGTGATAATGAAAGTGCCCGACATTATCAGAGTCTTCAAGGAGCTTGGCAACGGGAAGGTGAAACAGGAACACGAGAATCTTGCACAGGTCAGTGGAATAAAAGGAAAGGAAGATGCAAGGGAGGGAGAAGGGAAGGGAAAGAGGGATTGAGGGAAAGAGGGTAAGAGAGAGTAGGGGGGGGAGGGAAAGGGGTAAGAGAGCGAGATAAGGGAAGAGAACAAGAGAAGGGAGGGAAGAGAGATATAGAGGGGGTGGAGAAAGAGAGAGGGGGGAAGAGAGAGAAAGAAAGAGAGAGGGGGGAAGAGAGAGAGAGAGAGAGGGGGGGGGTGAGAGAATGAGAGAGAAGAAAGAGAGAGAGGGGGGAAGTAAAATTAGAGGAGGGGAAGAAAGATTAAGGGAGCGGAACAGAGAGAGGAATATGAAGAGAGAGGAGGGGGAGAGGAGGAGGGAAGAAATAGATAGAGAGAGAGGGGGGGGGGGTGCAAGAGAAAGGGGGTGAAAGAGAAAGGGGAGGGGAAGAGAGAGAAAAAGACGGCAAGAAAAGGGGAATATAGAGGGAGGGGATATGTATGTGTGTGTGTATGTATATATACACATACATACGTATATACGCACATATGAATACACACGAATATACATATCTATAATTGTGTAAATGTAATTATACATCTAACAGAGTGTGCTTCACTTAACAGGAACTCTGTGCCCTTCGCAAGGAACATGAGAGGGCGTCAAAGACCATTGACGCCCTAGTTGAGGTGAGACAATAATAATTCCTATCAATGATGGTCAAAGGTTATATTCACAGAGAGTTCATGTACTTGCATGATGAATCTGTTGTTCTTAAGGACATATGTAAAAGGAACACACCTTTCCCCATTTTCTTTTTGCGTATATTTATATTTTGTTCTGTATCGCCTCCTCCTTCTCCTCCTTTATATTTTCTTCTTCGTCTTCATTTCTTGTCCTTTTTCTCCGCCTTCTCTTCTACCTCTCCCTCTTCTTATTCTTCCTTTTCCTTATCATCCTCGTCTTCGTCTTCGTCGTCCTCTCCCTCTGCCTCCTCCTCCTCGGCCTTCGTTCCTCTACTTTCAGTTCCTCCTTCACTAGCATGAGCTGCAGACAGTTCTCCTTTAAACTTCACCTTAAGAAATAGCTGCGAATGCATTCTCTTATCACTAAATCTACCTTCGTTGTTTTGCAGAGCCAAGAACAATTGAACCAAACACTCCAGCTGCTGACAGAACTGCTGATAGTGCTAAACAGCCTGTCTTCAAGGCCTTGGCCAGATCTGCAAGAGAGCATTCGCGACGTTTTGGGTCAAGGAGGCCTCCACCAGGACTCTGGCGTCCGTGTGAACGAGGCGAGGAGGCGTTTTCTGTGTCTCTTTGTTCCTATAGTTCCTTCCTTTTTTTCTTTTCTTTTTTTTTGCGTTGGTTCATAGGTATGGATATACATTATATGTAATAAAACAAGTACAGTTCAAGAAACAAACAGGCACATGTAATGTATGTACAATACATGCACATTAATAGAAACTTTTTCGGATTTTTTTTATTTATCAGATCAGCATTATTAGGACAGTTCTGAAGACCATGTAATGTACATTTAGAAACATTTACAGCAGCCTCCATATGGTTTGCATCTTTGTAGGTAAATAAAAGTAGCAATAGCATGGTTGTACGTAATGTTTTTTTTTTTTTTTATTGGAAAAAAGTCAATGCAGATGGCGGAGAGATAAATCTGTAACGATATGCAAATATCTCCTTTAATCTTTTTTGGGAGGCATTCGCGCTTGAAAAACAGAATTTGAATAGTACACTTACTCTATCGTTTTATCTTTGGCATATTTTTCTCACAAAAGGAAGAAATACAACAAAAATGTCTTTTTCAGTGCTTCTGAAGAGAATGAACCCACTACTGTAACTGTCCTGAGCCATCGACGGCCTATACTTATGTTTCTTTTCCTTTTAGGTACTAATGAAGAATTATAAACTTCAAATTGCTATTTGATAAAAAAAAAGTATTCAACATTAAAGCAGTAGAAAACTAAAATCCTTAGAACTCAGTAATGCCATGACAGTTAGTTTTACAACCCTTCACGACCAGCTCATTCAATGGCGTAGATAAGATAATGTCCCGGACTTCTTACCGCGAAACAGCAAAAAAGTGTTAGTTACTAATCCAACCGCCTGTCGCCTGCCTGCCTCACCTTCAGTCCGAAGCGCCTTCTTTATTGGCATAATAATCCTATAAAAGAGACTTTTAAGACCATTTTGACCTTGTCCTGCATCGAGCCATATGGGAAAATGCTTTTCACAAGCTCATGACATCGAAAGTCACGACAGTATGTCCTCCATTATACTGTAATGACTGAGAATGTACTGTCGCTGTCAACCACTCTCTAGTCTTGAACCAATGAATGTCCTTTCGTTAATGGAGAACTGCCAGTATAAAGTTTACGGCATGTATTAAAAGACCCTCGCCTGAAACGCACAAAATCAGACGAAATATGAGGCGACTTAAGGCGCTCTGATAACTGCATGCGAGCTCCACCCGACAGAGGCAAGGGCCATCAACGATCGTCGACTCCGCCTCAAGGGCCTCGCCCCTTTGGCTCATCCTTAATACGGCGCGGTCGCATTGAGGATGAGCCGAGTCGGCACGTCCGTAGCTTCCCACCTTTTGGGAACGCACGAAGATCACCCCAGAGGCCCGTCTTGCGGAGACTCCTTTCGGCTGCAGTTCCCCCTGACAGATTGACCTGCCTGTGGCGCCCAGCCAGTCTACCGCGTCAACAGGCGAACCGCGTCATGTTTAGAGACTGGCAGCGCTATAGATACACACATATTGTCCCAGCCGGTTCAGTTGCGACGTTTGCTTGGTGACGCCACGTTCTTGGGCACCTCTCCCCCGAGAAACAGAGAGCGAAATGGGGCCAGGCAGAAACTGTGGGCTAATATACAGGACACCGTGTTTTGCAGGCTCCCTCAGGGCTAACCTGTGCAGTCTGCAGGTCGACCTACAACGCGCACGATCGTCGTCCGCTTATCTTCTCCAGCTGCGGCCACACCTTCTGCGAGGAATGCCTTAGTAAGGTTTCTGTTGTTTGTCTTTCTGTGAAATCTGTGTTTGGCTTAATGTTTGGTTTCTTTCCTGGTTTGTGCTTCTTTGTTTTATTTTTTATTATTTATTTATTTATTTATTTTTTGTTTGGCGTTGCGTTGTGTCTTTGTTTTCAGTGTCTTGGTGCCTCGTTTTTTTGTTTGTTTTATTTCTGCAATAATTAATATGTTGCTGTAAGAGAAGATACAACGGGTGACAGGGTAAAATATATACATATATGTGTGTTTGTATGTAAAATAATGATTAAATGAATGAATAAATGAATAAGTAGATGAATAAATACATACGTAGATAGAATAGATAAGAATATCTTAGAAATAATAAATTAGTAGATAAATAAGTGAAATGAATAGATAAATTTAGAGAAGGCTTAATGAGTAAATGGAAAGGCAATGAAAATCTTTCCTTCAAGGGACGGAGAACCGCAAGAGTGTGTTCCGGTGCCCTTCTTGCCGGCAGGACCGCGACCAGTTCTGGACGCTGAAGCCTAACTTCGCGCTGCTCGACCTGCTCGAAGCGGTACGTGATTTTCTTTTTTTAATGTATGATTTGTGCGTGTATGTATATGCGTGTTTGTGCGTGTGTGTGCATGTATGTGTGCGTGCGTGCGTGTGTGTGTATGTGTGTTCGTGTGTGCTCATGTGCGTGTGTTGGTTAGTGCATGTGAAATTAACCTTGGCTAATGGAAAGAGGTCCTTCCCAGAGGAGAGTCCAGGAGACCAGGGACGACGAAGACGACGAAGACGACCTCAAGAAGGGTCTCCGCATGGACGACGACGACCTGCTCTCCCTCGCCCTCCACATGTCCGCACAGGAGGCCGAGAACAAGGAGTACAGGCGTCAGGTCGCCGCCTTACTCGCGCGAGAGCCCGCTGGGCCGGCGACGTCCCCGGAGCGGAGGGCGGCTGGCAGGAGGAGGCAGAGGGGCGTCCGGGGAAGGAGGAAGCTTACTGCCATGAGGAACTTGAAGGTCTTGATGGGAAAAAGCTCCGCCTTGAGAAGGAGGAGGCTGAAGGAGAGAGGAAAACATGCTTCTGGTTGGAGGAGGAAGAAGAACTGCAACTGGCCATGGCTATGTCACTATCTGTAAGCATTTTCTGTTCACTATATAACATCAAATATCACTTTAGAGTTGAGTCTCCCCTGTCTAGTTATAATGCTCTTATATAACACATAATTCTTGACACTGCGATACACAGATCATTATTTGCAACTCATTATACTTGTATGTGAGGGCATTTACATGTATGCCAAATAAATGCTCCATGTCAGTGCCAATTAGTAACGTTTTACAAAATGGCCTTTTATTCCAGCTCCAGACAAGCGAGTAAGAGGCAGCAGATTATTATGATACAGAGTAAACGCGCTGCAGCATCATGAAGGAGAATTGAAGCCCTAAACACAAACACACACAATGTTTGTGGAAACCTCACGTTGGCAGTGTGATTATGCGGTATCCGTGAATTGTGGTCACCTACATTTATATATGAAGTACAGCTTATTAAGAGATTATGTATAGTTTATTAGTGTATAATATTCATGGGAAATATTATGCAGGCACATCACATTTATTTACTCAGTTGATTTTCAAAGAATCTAAATGGATTCTGACTTTTTGTCATCCATACATGTGGTCATTGACTGTCCCAAAACCTAAAGATAGTCCCTGTTAACAAAACTAAAAAGGTTTCACAGATAAAACTCGATTGCAAATATCTCTTTAGGCTGTAAGAAAAGAAAAAAAATCTTGCAACTGGAGCACCAAGAGAAATCTGGAAGAAAGGGTGTTGCATTAACATTAATTTCTACACCTGAACCATCGGCTTTAGGTCCAACATCAATAAGTTTCAGAGCCAGCATCAGCCTCTCCGTCAGGCAAAGCTAAGGCCTGTTGCGGATGCTGTTGCAGAAGACTGACCTGATGAGATGAGATACTTATATGAACATGAATAACGAAGGTCATTGGCTCTGCTAAAAACCCACAGGGACTAAATTACTGGTATTACCTTTAGCATTATTAACATTATTATTAACATTAAGAAGTAGGAAATGAATATTTTTTATTATTAATATATGTGTAGTTTTGATAAGCTACTTAGTGCAGTCTTCCTTGCCTTTTCCAGGATTTTTAAACAGTCTTGTAGAGCAGCAGTTTCACATGAAAATTATAACTCTCTCTCTCTCTCTCTCTCTCTCTCTCTCTCTCTCTCTCTCTCTCTCTCTCTCTCTCTCTCTCTCTCTCTCTGCTCTCTCTCTCTAAATGAGCATGACGGTGTTTGTCCTTTTCATTTTATAAACTTGTCTTGTTATTACATGTATTTGCATCTTAGTGATATGATTTTATCCTTTAAATGATTTTATTCATGTTTTTACATTATTGAAATCGTCCCTTTAGCTTTTTAGATATGTCGATGACGTTAGTACTTATAAGAGGCTTTATTTTTCAATGGTTTTTGATTATTTGTCTTAAACTGTCAACTATGTACCGTCAGTTTTCCATATTCTAATTATGTATATTTATAAAATTAGTGAAAATGATGGCAGTGATGTCAGCAAGACGTCGCTATATATACGGAACCGCCATGGCAATAAAGAGAGATCTATGTGAACCTGTGTTTGTGTCAGCCGGAGAGGTCAGCAGAACCAAGGGTGAACTGAGGAAACTTCCCGTTACTTGCCAGGGTCATTTGCAAGACGTCTTTTATATATATATGTATGTTTTCGTTGTTTTCTGTTGTTCTTAACGTATTTTTTTCCTTTTCTGGTTTCGTTTTTAAGTTTCAGTTTCCTTTTAGTGTGTATTTCTTTTTCTTACCTTGGTATTTTAAGTAAAGTAACGTAATTTTACTATGTGTGAATTTATGTTATACATTTTAAGCCTTAAGTAGTTTTATTTTTTTCTGTAACTTTTATTTCTTCTTTTGTCATATTTAAATGATAGGCTGAGTCACAAGGACTTTTTGTAATACTTCTCCGCTCTGGGTACATGTCATACCCGTATATGATCCTGGGTCATTGCCCGCTACCCTATCACAAGCCCAGGATTTGTGCTAACCTTCACTGAAACGCCCTGTGTCACTTGCATCCCCTGTGCGGTACGCCTTTTCGGCATTTTCTAATATCTCTTTGACAAACATATATATATATATATATATATATATATATATATATATATATATATATATATATATATATATATATATATATATATATATATACATATATATATATATATATATATATATATATATATATATATATATATATATACATACATAATGTATACTTCTACACACACA